GTGTGTGTGTGTGCTTTTGTTCCCGTCCTGTTTCAAATATGCGAACATTTGTTATCTAGCAACTTGTCGCATTAGATTTTTTATCCGTCAATTTTTGAGGAAACTTCATATTGTTCGAAGCTTTATTTAGCAATCGTCTATATTTACTAAATACTATACTAACTTTTATCTAATCCCTTCAAATCTATGAAAATGGTATGTAGAGATGTCCATGGTTTTACGTTATGCCACTGGGCGGCGTGGAAGGGACACATAGAGATGTTTGATCTCTTGAAGAAGAATAATTTCGATATGAACGCCATCAACAACGGAGGGGATACCATGATACACATAACAGTGGCACAAGGGCATATGAAGGCTACTAAAATCGTATGTGGAGGCGGTACATACAAGAAACCTGGTTAATATACCCGTTATCATACATCTTGATTTACCGGGGAAAAATCCCAGTGTAAAGGAAAATACTATGTAAACTGTGCATGCGTCATTGCATGTGTGGTGTGACTATTCAGAGCTTCTCCTGGACACATGAACGCGACAAAACTGTAATTTCAATTTCTAGCTTGGGAATTCGTTTTCAGTTTTACCGTTTCGCAAAATGTAAACCATTTGTCTGGAAATGATTCCCCTAATGCGATGGTAGGTATCTAAAAATTATTTTTCCAATGACTGTACATCTTAAGCATGGCTACGGAAATCTTATAGAAATCTGACGGATCGTAGTCCTGCACGCTCTAGCCATGTATTCCACCACAACAGCGCACCAGCGCTATATCAAGAATCCGCCACTCCCTTGACATTCACTCTAGCGTCGGGACTCGGATCTAACTTTATTCACGAGCATTTCAGGGAGCGTGGCAAACGATTTTTTTGGTATTACAATACTGGTGGTTCTGGTAGTACAGAGTACGTCTAGGGATGCCTTATAAGGCACTGATATAACCTAAAGTATACCTACATAGCTTCAAAGTTGATGTGCAGGTACCAAAACATCGCTTTTGTATCTTCGCTCATCAGCTGCTGGAGAGTGGAGCGGATGTGAATGCCACAAACGAGCACGGAAACACTCCACTGCACAGCGCATGCTTCTGGAGGAATGAGCCCATGATTAAGGTTTACTTGTGTGTGTGTACCTAGTAGCCCGCTGTGTTTCTCCATTTAATTCTTGCCGCGTGTAGGAACCAGCCACAGTTAGTTCCGCAACATGGGCGAACTAGCAGAGAGTCGCAACAGGTAGTGCACTTTGAAGCATACAGTTCCGTACTCTCAATGGGTCTTATATACATAAAGGTCTTTTAAAGTTTTAAGAGCATATCTGCTTGCTCTACTGTTATAACAGTGCGTACGTTTTCGTGACTCTCTATAATGTCTTGTCCGACAGTTCAAGGGTATACAGAGAACCACGACACAGGTTCGCACCGCACAACACCTCATTGTATTTTCTCTCTTTATCAGTTGCTGGTAGCAAACGGGGCGAAGCCAGCGCAGACCAACAAATTTGGCAAGACACCTCTGCACTTGGCTGGACCAATGGCAAACCTTGTGAAAGACACCGCCGACGAGCATGATGTCGACACAACCCCCGTATACTTTAAGGGTATGTGCTGTGTAAGTGAGATCAAGATGATCTTTAGATGGGGTGGAATCTTATGTTGAGGAGTCGTATCAATGCCTCCTATGTCTATATGGTATCGAGGCTGGTGTCGTAGTGCAGGCTCTTTGAACCAAGACAACAAACAGGACAGGCTGGTTTTTCTCTAATTGTAGGAGAAGCCGTGCAAAAAACTATTTGTGAAAATAGGCGCGTACTGCTAGTAATTGATGAAAAATGATTATGGCCACTCTTCACACTTCGTAGTTGTGTCAGACGTGATGAAGGATGTCATCCAAAACTTGTATAATTGTTCTACAGGATACTCTGCTGCTCAGAAGGAATGCTCGGTCAGTGTTTGTTCACCCCAAACACAAAGTCTCTTGCAAGTTCAGCATCAGGGAATTTACTCATGCTATATCGTACGTAGGTGATAATTTAGTGCTAACAAATAGTAATTGGATTCCCCGCACTGCCCAACAGAGGCTGAGAATGTGTTCGGGCGTGCTGTGATGGACATGGTGATGAAAACGGCGAAGGTAGCACTCGATGCGAAGATACTTAACATATCGGATAGCGACGAACTCATTAGGTCAAACACCCGAGGCGACACATACAAAACCTCGTACAAAAAAAACGACGTATGTGTGTGTGTGTGTGCAGAAAGATATGTACAAACCTCTGTATAACTTGAATATATGAGTATCCCTGCATATGCGTGCGTTCCTGCCTTCGACTTGTCATCTGGTGTGCATTTCTAACTATATCTCACTCATTCTAAGAATTTATCCAACTTTGGTGTCATTCACTTTGTGCAGTATATAGCTGTGTTTCGCACTTGGGTTGGACGTGATCGATTAAGTAGTCACGTACACTTGACACTCCGATCAGTCTCATCTGTATCATGTTTATTTCGCAGGTATTGATCACCAAACTGCGAGGCTCCAACAACCTCCGAGATGTACACATCGAAGACTTCATGGCAGAAGCTGAGAAACTAAGGTAGGCATTCGCACTACGTGGCTTAGTTTAGTCTGCTGTAGTATACCTTTCATCCCTGTGTAAGTTCTCAGTATGTTGTTCCATAACCGTTGTTCCTTGTGGCGCAACGTCAAAATGGGAGCAAAAGACATCAATATACCGTAGGTAGACTTTGTGCTTGTCTTATACAGGCAATGTACAAATGCACAATTTATTAAATTTAGTACAAAATCACAATCAGATTTTGTGTTGCTACTGATATTTATTTTTTGCTACTTCCATGAGTATGTACGAAATACTCACTCCTTAGTTCGACTTATTTTTGGACAATCTATATTGCCAATATGCATTGAAGGCTCAAATAGCATATGACCTTCGTAGTGTAGGCTGTTTGAAAGTTACTTCTGACCTGAACAGGTCTCTTTTCCGTAGTTCCTTCCATGTGCCTGAAATAGCATTCTCTATAATACAATAGGTTAACTGGATTCTCGCACGTTAACGTGCTACCAATGCTGAGTGTGGTTGACAAAACAGCCAAGGACGACTGTCTATGGATCATGACGCAGCATTTTCCACTGGGAACTCTGCACGACACGATACAAAAGACAGGTAAAGCGAATGGCAACAGTTGGGATAGTCCAAGAGGATGTTTAGAAAAATGGTTTTGGTGATTATCGCTGTTTGTATAACTTTTGTATTGCAACATTGAGTGCGCATAGAAGGCGTCGGCTGAGTTGATAACAGTGCAAAAAGAGAATGGCAGTCGTTGCTATGGAACCACCACCACGTGCGAGGGAATTGTTGGGACCAGTGCACACCACCTCAGGCATTCCAATTCTACCCAAATGTCGCACATATACATAACAACTGAGCCTTCTCAATATATGCAACCGTCCAAGGCACTTTAATTCTCTCCTCAGTAATGAATCACAACGTTTCCGCAAAACAGAGAAGGGTCAAATGCCGGTGTGGCACATTGCAAAGGGCATAGCGAAGGCCATGGCGTACTTGCACGATGACGTCAGGATCACCAAAAGAAGTTGCTATCATCTATCATCACACACGGTAAAGGTAAGTCAGAAAACCTGATCAGTCCAAAATATGTGATTGTGTCTAAGAGGTTTGCCCCGTGTGTTATTGAGCCTTTTCAAACCTATCACAATCAAGAGGGACGTATTGTATACTCAAACCAATTGCCGCGAGGCCTTCATTATTATCGTTTACTATCTTACTGCAACTTTAATTCGAAATTTGGCGCTAGCTTTGCTAGTGATTCCTGTACCCCTTATCCCTTACAGATGGACTTGCGTAATACACCTGTCCTGAATCTGGCTGACTGTGAATTCCTATTCCAACGAAAGTTCACGAAACGTCTCACCCACCCGGAATATGTCGCGCCAGAAGGTGAGTATCATGTCAGTTGATCTGTACGTATGCGCTTAAAGTGTGCACGACGTGAGTGTACGTGTGGGAGGGTTGTATGTGCGCGTAGTCAACGAACGTAGTACCAACCAACCAACCAACCAACTTTCCTGCTCTACTGTCAAGTCAATAAGTGATTGTTCCTTACCTCCATCTACATATGTTGACTGTCTGTATAACTCTTCGGGTGGCTTTCTCGGAGATTAACATTGCATCTCTAAACAATCAAAACCAACCCTATCACCATGGTATACTACGCTTACTCACTTTCTAAATACACCTTCTGTCGTCTAGTTTTCGAGGACCTTGAGCACAAGAGCGAGAGATCCGACGTTTACAGTTTCGGTGTAGTTTTAAATGAGATGGCGACTGGCGAGGCACCACACACAGGCCTAACCAGTATGCAGATTGGCTTCCAGGTAAGTAGAGTGTTCTATAATATAGGTGCTACTTTGGGTCTTGCAGCAATCCCAGATGACAAACACGGCTTTGTGCACTCCTCCTGATAGTGTGATGTTACAGAATATCAATTCTGCTGCGTGTGACCCGTGCATTTTAATAGATCAGCTACTAGTAACCCCATGAGTTGGATCAACGTGAGATGCAGAGCAAGTGAGGTGTTTAACTTGAATCCTGTTATCTAATTGTTGCGCGCGATTGAACACCTTTTCCGACTTCGGCTGTACAACTGCACTGTTGCCACCTATACGAGCAATATCAACATTGGGGTTTTATTTTTGAACTGAACCAGTTCGCGTTCCGCCTACACTGCTCAAAGCTTCGAGACTTGCAAAAATACGTTCGTATGCCTCAATAACATGTCGATATGGTACTACTTTTTAACATAGGTAATGACCCAGGGAATCAGGCCTGAGATGGTAGAGACTACAGATACTCTACTACATGAAACCATCTTATCGTGCTGGCAGGTATGTACTTATGCGTCGATGTCTAGAACAAACATAAACTATATCGGTGTATCTGCACGTTGTGACTATATATATATATATATATATATATATATGTATATATATATATATATATATATATATATATAATATGTGTGTGTGTGTGTGTGTGTGTGTGTGTGTGTGTGTG